TTTTTTCCAATTCAAATAAAATAAATAAAATTTGTAATTTATTATATTCTGTATAAATAGAATACCAAAACCCAAAACCCTATAATTTACGTTTCGTTGCCTCTCTCTCTCTCGCTCTGGTTTTTCTTCCCCCGCAAGACTGATCGAATCTTTGTGTTCTTCGGATTGATTTCATTAGTATTTGGATCGAATCATCTACTTTTCACCGCTAGGTATGTCTTCTACACTCGCTCAAAAGTTTTGAGAACTCGTCTGTTTATTTGTAAATCATAAATACCTTTTTTTTTAGATTCTGAATATGTTTCCATTGGTTTAAGCTCGTGGGGTTTGTCCAAGTTTCAATCTTTTCTTAAATTTGATCCTTGTTTCAGGTTATAGTGGGATTGTGCTGATCAAGCCTTTAGTCTGAATCATGGCGATTTTTACCAAAACAGAGGATACGGTTTGTTCTCCTGCGACGACACTATGTTTGTTAGTGTATTCTTTGGTTTTAGTTGGTCAGTTCATTTAATTTGTGTTATTATCTTGTAGAAGCAAACACATAAAGCCTTCCAGTTCTGGAAGCATAACAGAACAAGAGACCGACCTGATCTAATGACGCCTGAGGGCTTGCAACTTTATCTAGACACAAGACTTGAGCAGTTGAAAGTTTTTACTGAGCTTGGACTTTGTCAGGTATGTTTTTTTCTTTGTGTTATATCTCAGCGCTCTGTCTTTCTCTAATCGTCATATACTCTCTATCTCTTGGGTAGCAATGATCTAGAATAACTTCTTATGTTGATTTATCTTTTTACTTGCAGGAAGCTTTTCGCGCTACCAAAGATATATATGGATTAATGTGCATGGTCAAGAAAACTCCCAAGTCATCTTTATTGGTGGTTTATTATTCCCAATTGGTTGAGATCTTTTGGACTTCTTCTAGCAATCTTTACCATGCTTCTGCATGGTTTAAGTTGTTTAGCTTGCAGACAAATTTCAATAAGAACTTAAGCCAGAATGATTTACAGCTAATAGCGTCATCTGTTGTCTTGGCGACATTATCTGTTCCACCATATGGTCAGTCTAACGGTTCATCGCATTTGGAGCTTGAAAATGAAAAAGAACACAATTTGAGGATGAGTAACCTCATAGGGTTCAATCTTGAACATAAATTCGAGGGCAGAGATATGGTAACATCAATTATTTTGTTTTTCTAATTCCATCCTTTATTTCTGGTTTGCTTTTTCTAATGTCATACATTTGCAGCTTTCCCGGGAATCACTTCTGTCAGAGCTGGTGAGTCTCTAGCAGCTCTACTTCATAGTTGGAATTGTTTATTCTGTGACGTCTTATTTCCTTCTAGTAATGTTGAGTTTGATTTTTCATCCATTAGGTTTCAAAAGGTGTTTTGAGCTGTGCAACTCAGGAGGTCAAAGAGCTTTACCATCTCTTAAAGCATGAACTTCACCCACTGGATCTTGGTTCCAAGATTAAGCCTTTGCTGGACAGAATTTCTAAACTCGGGGGTAAGCTTTCATCAGCTCCTTCTTTACAAGAAGTGCAGCTCTCCCGATATGTTTCATCTTTGGAGAAGATTGCTACTCTGAAGCTGCTTCAACAAGTAAGTGCACTCATGTTTTTGACCTGGTGTATATATTTTTATATGAACGTACTTACAAATCTATATTGCAATTTTTTCAGGTTTCTAAGATTTATCAGACAATAACAATTCAGAATCTAGCTCAGTTGGTCCCTTTTTTCGACTTCTCAGCCGTTGAGATGATAGCAGCTGATGCTGTAAGGAATAATTTTGTTGACATGAAAGTTGATCACATAAAGGGTGTTGTAAGTTTTGGAAATCTGGTGAGTTTCTCTGCTAATATCAGTCATCTCTTTCTGCAACCGACTTGTTTTACTAAACATTATGATACTTTTGGTTGATGTTATTTTGTTTCATCCAACTATTTGTGTATCAGAGTATTGAGTCTGATGGGCTGAAAGATCCTCTTGCTATTTTTACTGAGACTATGAACAAAGTAAGAGCGATGTTATTTCCTGCTCCAAATAAAGCAATACAGCTTGGTGGCATAGTACCAAATCTAGAAGAGACTGTAGAAAGAGAGCACAAAAGACTACTTGCTCGGAAATCATTCATTGAAAAGAGGAAGGAGGAACAAGAGCGTCAGCAAATAGAGATGGTATTTTTCCCTACATGAATTGAAGCATCATTCACAATTTTTCTGCTTTTCATTATCGTTGGGTGACTTGGGCCACTTGAGGAAAATTTCCCTGTTCTGAAATATTCTGAATAAATCCAAGCGATCTTTTCTGTGTTTAGGTTTTGAAGGAACGTGAAGAGGAGCAGACAAAGCTTAAGATTTTGAAGCTAACCGAGGAGGCAGAACAGAAGACACTTGCGACAGATCTTCAGGAGAGGAGGAGACAGAGAATACTTAGGGAGATTGAGGAGAGCCGGCTTAAGGGAGTAAGTTTTTTTGAAACACTGGTTCTGTACACCTGTTTGCATGTTCTTATATTTAATAGCTTTACAAAATGTTGGAGAAGGTAACAAAGCAAACCGTGCTATTGAGGGCCATGGGTGAAAAGCTCAAGAAAGATCAAGAAATGAAGAATAAGCTCCGAAAAATTGCCAAAACTATGGATTATCTGGAACGGGCAAAGCGAGAAGAAGCTGCCCCTTTGATTGAAGCTGCATATCAGCAACGATTGGTAGAGGAGGTAAGGATTTTTTCTTGCAGTAGTGTTGCATCTTTATATATTGGTTCTGACTTCTGAGTTTAGGCGAAAAAGGTCCTTATAGTCTCTTCTATTTTGTTTAGCGTGGGGTCGAGCTCAGCAAGGAACATCAAGAGAGTGACTTGAAGGAGAAGAAAAGGTTGGCGAGAATGTTTGATAATAAGGTCAGTTGGCTTGTTAAGATGTGTGTAGTGTTGTCTTCATATGTAGAAATCACTTCTTGCAATTTTTATTGTCAAGTAACTCAAGACCAAATTTTTTCTTTACAGGAAATATTCCAAGAGAGGGTGATTAGTCTTCGACAAGCTGAGTTTGAGAGACTAAGAAAAGAGAAAGTGGATCGTATTGGCCAGATAATTCTGGCTAGGAAACAAGAAAGTGATATTAAGAGAAAGCATATATATCATTTGAAATCAGAAGAAGAAAGGATAAGAAAGCTTCAGGAAGATGAGGAAGCGCTTAAGCGTGAAGGTATGCCCTCTTTTCCTGATTATGCAACATCATTTGGTGTGTTCCTTGCCTCCTAGATGTTGTTTGACACTTTAAACCCTGTTTGTTATATTGTATCTACTCCTATGCAGAAACTGAGAAACTTAGAAAGGAAAAAGCTAAATGGAGAGCTAAGTTATATGAAATTGCAGAACAGCAAAGGCAGAGAGAACAAGAGGTGAATGAAAGGCTAGGTTGAGGCGATAAGCTACTTTGAAACAATATTGGCCAGATTTAAACGTCTTTTAAGACTTGTTTTCAGTTGGATTAGACAAAAACTATAAAATCTTGGGGACAAAGTTGTGTTTAGTGCTGCTCAAGTCCTTTTCAGGACACAATGATTTGTGGGTCACTTTTATGCTTCTTTGTTCACATTTTTAAACTGAATATGATGTTAGCTTTGACAAGTACTCCCACTTTGAATAAACATGTCAAAAAAACATCTGAAACATTACTTTAGATGGTAATAGAATGACTCAAAACATTTTTAATACACAAATCTAAATCCAAAAGTAGCTTTGGATTCCACTAGTTAATAATATATTGCATGACACTCACAACAACTAACACCAGCTTGGTCTAAAGATCATCTGGTTGAGCCAGCTTAAGTCCAGCAAAGTCTTTGACAGTGTAACCAATCTTCTCAAACTTCCCTACTTCATTACTCTGTCTGAAATTAAGATACTCCGAACACTTAAACGACTTGTAGCTCCTACAGTTTCCATCACCCACGATTTCTTGAGGTGCAAGTATCACTTTATCATCCTCAAAACAGAGAAAAAACGCCAGAGAGACTCTGTTCACCAATTTTCTCAATACAACTCGATGTTCAGACGATCTCAGCCTTCCGTTACTCCATGCTTGCATAAGATCTCCAATGTTAACAACAAGCAGATCCTCGCACGGATTTATATCGATCCATTTCCCTTCCTTAGACCTCATCTGTAGCCCGCCAACGGAATCTTGGTAGACTATTGTTATGCAGCTCATATCCGTGTGCATCCCGAGACCTTCAACGAGCTCTTCTTGCTCCTCCACGTCATGTGGGGGTGTGTAGTTTACTAGCCTTAAGTATCCATGACAGTTGCTAAACTCAGTTTGGTAGAATCTCTTCCCTGTGTCCTCCCCTAAGGTCACCATCAAGAGAATCTTCACGAGTCTTTTGGACAATTCTGCCATTTTATCTCCGTATTCTTGCAGTGTTTCTCTGAAAAAACAGAGGAGAAGTAAAAGTGTCAAAAGCCATTGAAGAGATGTGAAACACAGAATATGAAAAAGAATTTAGAAAACTGAATTTTGTTGTAATAATGACAACGTTAACTCTGGCTTATGATGATCTTGGAACAAAACATCTTCAGAATCTTTGGCAGAACTGGAGAAATCAGGTCCAGAGACAACAAGGCTTTCGAAATAAGGAGATGCTATGTTCCGAGGAGTATACGTTAAGGGACCAAGCTTAAGCTTTGATTCAAGGGGAAATTTGAACACATCTCTTGACAAGGAACATGTTTTGCTGAACATCTCTTTAGAGATTCCATGATTTGTGACATAGAAGAACCCCCACTCTTTACAAGCCTGAGAGAGAGAAGACAAAACAGAGGATTCAATTGGTTGTGTTAAGTCTAACACAGGAAGTTGCAGAGAGGATTGAAGTTCAGACATTATATTATATATTGACTTGTCTTAAGCGTTTAGGGATAAAGAGTAGGGGTAAGCTATGCTAGGCATAGGGGTATCTATATTTAAGACATGATAAAAAGAAGGTTTTAGATATATTTCAGACAAAAGCAGTAACAGTAGAACCCACATATTTGGATATCATTATGCCGGTAATAGAAAAGATTGTAAGTCATGATGATTTCATTGTGACATTTTACAATGGGACAATTAGGCTATAGTTTCATTATTTGCAGCCTCAGAGGTCATAAACATTAAAGTTATTGAAAAAAGTTGTGAAGATTCATGAAAACTTGATTATTCATAATAGCATATATAAGAGTTATCTTCATAACATTAATGAATTACCCTATGCATCCTCCAAGGCCTCCATAATAATAGCATTATATTATTCATACAAAAACAAGATCCAAGATGAGAACCACCATTTTATTTTTCAATTTATAAAGTGATCCTATTATATTAATGCAAAGAGATCCTAAGAAGATGTTAACTAGAATGTGCAACCTCCTGGTCCTCCATAGAAGATACAATCAGTCCAAACGTCGCCAAACATTGGTTGGTCCATTTTTACTTTGTAACAGTTTGGGGTGCTTGAGAATGTCTTTAGGCTTTCAAGTGGTGGAGTCATACCTTCCATTCCAAAATCATTATATACTATGAAACCATTCATATAGGCTACTTTGCTGTAACTTTTATGTTCGGGTAAATGTCCACTTCCCATACTTGGACTCTTCTCTTTCACTGGGCTATATACTTCTCCTCCCCATGACACCAAATTCCCTCCATGGCCTAAACCTGAATCTGTGAATAATGATTTTGGCCAGTATCCAACATAATCGTTGAATACTACCAACCACCAGTTTCCTGTAATGTGATCCTACTTAAACAGACACAGTTACTTATTCATTCAATGGCCACAAGCACAATGCACATTATCATTAGCAAAGTTCTTCAAGGTTTGATGGAATTGGCTAATTGATTCATGGAATTTCTCAGATAAGAACATTTTGGAAAGTGATGCTACCTTATATATGTTGATGCTTACTTCATATTGTTTGCCACCGTACGTAGAAACTGGTTGAAAAAGGTATCCAAGTGGGATATCGGTGTTCACTTGTACAAAGCCAGGACATAATGTATTGTAGCAACCTGTTTTACTAAATCCATCTGCCTGTTTTGAATCAGACATATATAAATGATGGCAAGACACAACATCTATAATACAAAAAATGATAACAAGATTTTCTTGTAAATTTGTTTAGAGGTTTTATGAACATACAGTCCAATAGGTGTATAAGCGACTGTGATTCCGGTTTAGCCATTGGTACACCTGAGGAATATTTTGGAGCGTGAGTTTTGGTATATTTATGTAAAAAATGTAGATATTTTCTAAGTGCCGTTCAGAAAAATCAAGGGAAACAAAATATCATGACTTACTATCCATCCAGCTCTAATGCCTTGAAACTGTTCTTTTGAGCCAGTAGCGATAAGGATACTTGCAAGACTAAATTGATTAGGTGAAACTTCAGGTTCCCATATGTTAAGATTTCCCTTTGCTCCATAATGAAGCTTTTTGTACTGAACCACAGCAAACTATAATACATGTATAGAGAATAAATAAGAAGTGAGTAATGCTCATTGTATATGAGATTTTTTCTACTTGACGGATGTAGTAGCATGGTTCATACATGAAAACCAGATAGATCAATGTTTTTCTCCTTTGAAGAAACATAACTTGAAGATTTCAACCCCATGGATTTCAAACTCTGAGCTTGTATAAGATCTTCCAATGTGGTCCTCTTAACAATCACACTCCCTTGTGGACAACTTATCCAATCGTGTCTAAACGGGAGGGAACCACCGTTCTGATTATTTGTTTTGGTCCCTTTAGGTATAGTTGTAGGCCTTAACTGCACATCATATATATTAATCCGTTCACAAAATAATTAAGCTTGCTCAAAATATGAAACTTCTTATATGAATTAAAACCTGAATAGAATGGTTCATGAGTAGAGGATGATCAAATGCTAGCTGCTTGTGAATGTCAATGCAATCCAATATGTCACCATGTTCAGTCTACAATATTAAAATAGCAAAAAGCAATAAATTTGATGTGGTTTAAAAACAATGTGATTCTGGTTTCTCAAAAAAGTCTTAACTTACTTGAAAACTCTTGATTGCAGGTCTATTGATATTGTTGAGTAACCTCTCCAACTCGTTTCTATCTTCGTCTAATGTTATTGGCCTATAACTTTCTGCAACTAGAATGAGATATACCACGGAAAAAGTAAGCAGAAGAAGCTTATCTGAAGAAATCATGGTAGCTGATATAATTATAGCTGTCAAAAGTTTAGTGAATCACAATCTATATATATATATATGGTGTAACATTTCTCTGAGACCATTAATTAATATCAACAAAAATCTATATACCATTAATGAGTGGCAAGTGGCACTCTTTCTAACCCCCCCTTTTGTGGATTCTCAATTTCTAATAAGTGTCTTTAGCAAACTTTAGTATACATAAAGTGTCTCAAACTTTAGTACTTTAGGTGACTCAGACTATGTATAATAAACATTTATTGAAAGATGTTATGAAATTCTGATACTTTATTATTCATGAAAGGCCTTAGTAATGCTTGGATATATTTCAAATCTGTAGAATTTCTCATATTTTTAGCCTCATCTATAATTCTTTAAAAATCTTGTAACTCTTCAGTTCCTAGATAATTGTCCTATGCAGCCTCCAGGACCTCCATAGTAAACAGCTCTTATCCAAGGTTCATCTTCATCATGAATAAACTTGGCTTTGTAACAATTTGGACTGCTCTCACCTGTCTTTATAGTGTAGATTTGCGGAATAAAAGCTTCTCCCTTACCATCTAAGATTTGGATATTGTTCACAAAGGCTGCTTTTCCAAAACCTTCTTTAGGAAAATGCCCACTGCCCATAATTGGACTCTTTTCTGTCTTTGGACTGTACACTTGGCCTCCCCAAGATGCAAGATTTGCTCCTTTAACTAAGCCTGAGCCCATGAACAATGACTTTGGCCAATACCCAACGTTCACGCCTCCAAATACAAGCCACCAATCTCCCGTTGCACGGTCCTGTAGTTCCCGATTTTATAAGATGAATATCCCAAAAGACTTACAAGATGATATCACTAGAGACTCTAGATGTTTTTATTTACCTGATGCAAGCTTAAGTCCATTTCATATTGTGTACCAGTATATATTGAAACCGGATGAAGAAGGACACCAAGTGGTATCCTCTGGCTGACTTGCACAAATCCAGGACATCTTATGTCATAGCAGCCTGTCTTATTATATCCATCTGCCTGTTGATTTGAATCAGTTTATTTCATTAAGACCATTGTGAAGTTAGAAAAATATTAGCCTAAACTTTAATTCAAGGGGTTACTCGAAACTTACAGTCCAGTAGGTATATAAGTGAATATGATCTTGGTACAACAATGGATTCACCTGTAGTACATATGTTTCTCAACCCATTTTTTTCTCAGGACTCAGATTAACGAAAGAAATAGAAATAAGACTTACCATCCACCCAACTGAAATGCTGGCTAGATGTTCTATGGGACCTTGTGCAATCGCCATGGTTGCAATACTAACTTGATCATGTGACACTTGTGGATCCCAGAGGTTAATGTTTCCTGTAACTCCAGCAACTCTGCTATAATCATACTCCACCGTTGCAAACTAAATATCCATACAGAACAAAGAAACTAAGAAAATGGAAACAGAGAAATGGTGTTTTATACTGAAAGGCTAAGTAACGGTTCTTACATGATGTCCAGATAAATCAATGTTATTACCCTCTGTAAAGACATGTCTAGGGCTATTGAATCCAATGGATTTCAAATGTTGTGAGTGTATAAGATCTTGGATTGTAGTCCTTTTAACAATTACTGTTCCATGTGGACAACGTATGCGCTTTTGTAGAAGCTGCAAGGGACCAATGTTTCGTGAAATATTGTTGCTTGGGATCCAAACAGGTACACTTGTTGGCTTTAGCTGCATATATGACAATGCCTTCACAAAGTCATGCTCTGAAGATCATTATATAGAGAATTCATATATGATACAATAGAGAATCCTCTAAGAAAATCAAAACCTGAACAGAGTGGTTTTTCAGCAGAGGATGATCAAATGCTAGTTGCTTTCTAATGTCGATACAATCGAATATCTCACCATTTTCAGTCTGTTCAAAAAGGAAAAATTGAAAAAGGGTGTCTATTATATACGTTAATGTACTCGTAATCTCTGGTCATGTTTCTTCACTGTAATGATAAGCATATATATGTATGAAGAAGACAAGCTAAGACAACCTTGAAACTCTTGAGTGCAGGTTTGTTGATAGCTTTGAGTTGCCTCTCCATTTCTATCTTCTCTTCTTCCGAAGGTATTGTTCGCCGTTCATCATGAGCTGTTTCAGCAGCTAAAACAAGAGAGACTGTAAACAGAGTTAGCAACACAATGTTACTGGAGAACTCCATTGTGTAAATAAACAATGACTGTCCAAAAGTAAAGAGACTCTTGTCTTTCTTAATTATGTAAATGAAAAAATGAATCAAAAGAACAAGTTATGACGAACAAGTTGTGGTGAGAAGAACTTTGACTACAATCAATATGGTGAGAGGAACATAGAGACAAGTGGCATATATATACTTTTATCATAAAAACAAATTAATAAAGAGTGAATATATTAATGACAATGTCTTGCTAACTTAAATAAATAACGGTTTCAGTCCTACAAATAATTAATGCCTTGAATGTTTGCTAGTTTTTAAGTAGATTTTGGTTTTAATTTTTTAAAAATCTAATTGGTTGCCATTCAAGATTTTATAAATTCGGTTTTCCTAAAAAAAAATTGGGAATCTATTTTTTTTGAGATTTTACTCATTTTCAAAGAAAAACCAAAAACCCCTTTTATTGGTTTCTTTCAAGTGTATTTTCTTTCATTTTTAATTTTAATTTTTAATCTTTTTTTTTACTTTTTTTTTTTGAACAAAAACCAAAAACCAATTATTTAATACTAAAAACTAAAATCCAAAAAATAAAAGCTAAAATCCAGTTTAAAATCTCATTCCATTCATGGCCTAAAAGGCAAAGATCTCTAAGTTAACTCCCTCTGCTAAAGCAAACAGAAAAGTTGTAAGGTATAAAGCAAACACCCATAAAATCTCTTATTGTATTTGTCTGTAATCTCTACCTATAAGATCAGAGTTTTTATCTGTAATGTATAAAGTTCTTAGAAAACAAGTAAAACTAAAATGTGCATCCTCCCGGTCCTCCAAATAGAATAGCTCTTGACCAATACTCACCAACACCTAATATCTTCTTGACGTTATAACAGTTAGGACTGTTTGCGGATGTCTTTAAAGACGAAGCTGTTGGACTCGAAACAACTCTTGTTATATCGGTGATTACTTTTAAACCATTCACATATGCTGCTTTCTTGAAACCCTCTTGTGGGAAATGTCCACTTCCCATGCTTGGGCTTTTCTCTTTCACTGAACTATAAACTTCTCCTCCCCAAACCACCGCACTCGCTCCATCAGCCAAACCTTCGGATTTAAACAATGATCTTGGCCAATACCCAATTGGCTCGTCACGTAGCGAAAACCACCAATCTCCTGTGACATGATCCTGTTTAAATCAAAAGCAATAGTTGTTAACATTACGTACATTCGACATTTTGATATAAGTTTGAAGAAAACTAATGTTGTATATTTACAATATACCTGGTATATGCTGACTTCTAGATGATATTGTCGACCACCATAAACGGAAACTGGTTTGGCAGGGACTCCAATTGCATATTTAGTGCTCACATGCACAAACCCAGGACATAGTGCATTGTAACAACGAGTCATTTTATTTCCATCCGCCTATTTGAACGACATATTTAACTGGTGAAGCTAGGGCATATATTTTTGATTATTTTTCTAAACCGTTGATATGTAAAAGTCAAAACTCAAGAATTTAAGATGTTTTTCAAAACTTACAGTCCAGTATGTGAATAAGGAACTCTGATTCTGATGTAGCCCTGGATACACCTAAAATAGTACTTTGGTCGAACGTTGATTCTGAATTTTTATTTAAAAAAAAAAAAAAAAAAGAAGTAAAAATAGTGTCTTAATTAAACTTACAATCCATCCAGCAGAGATGCTTTGTAACTTCTCTGTAATAGTCATAGCCGCAAGACTAAATTGATCTGGTGAGACGTATGGATTCCATGTGTTAATGTTTCCTTTTGCTCCATAGTGGTAATCATTGTACTTAACTGTGGCAAACTAAAAATACAAAAGAGAAAAATAAATAGATAACCAAAAAATAATATAAGCATTGTGGACAAGTCTAAGAGGGGATCTCGATCAATTCAAAAAAAAAAAAAAAACAAGAAATGATTCTTACATGATGACCAGTTAAATCAATTTTCTTGTTCATTGAAGAAACTTGTCTTAGGGATTTCAAATGTTGAGCTTGTATAAGATCTTCAAGTGTAATCCTTTTGACAATGACTGTCCCAACTGGACACTTTATGTCATCTTGTCCAAAGGGCAAAGAACGAGGCTTATGAGAAGTGTTGTTATATTTTGTCCATTTAGGTATACGTGTGGGCTTTAACTATATATAATATTTCAACCCATCAAAAAATAAATAAGAAGAAATTTATAGAAATTTATTAGTATGTATGTGTTTCCTAGGAAAAAAAAAAAAAAAAACCTTGATAGAATGGTTCTTGAGCAAAGGATGATCAAAAGCTTGTTGTTTACGAATGTCGATGCAGTCCAAAATATAACCATGTTCAGTCTGTTGAAATGAAAAGCAAGAAAAAATGGATGTGGATCATGTAACATCAAATCTTCAATATTCAACAACTTATTGTAATGTTTTTTTTTCTTCAAAATATCGATAATTAAATATATAAAAATGATAAATTTACTTGGAAACTTTTGATTCGAGGTTTATTGATATGGTTGAGTAGTTTCTCCATCTTTTCTTTCACTTCTTTCGAAAGTATTGTTATGCGACTCTCTCCAACTAAAATGAGAGCTATTGTTGGTAAAGTTAGCAAGATAAGTTTATTGGAATACCTCATGACTATATTTTGCGAAAGAAGAATGAAGCAGAGCAAGCAACTCATATTTTTATTTTCACATAAATCTGAAACCATTTATAGCCAACAAAGAACCTATTCATAGTAATTGACAAGTGTCTCTCAACGCTATCTCTATTGCCCATTCCCATATGTGGATGCTAAAGTGAGACTTTTTGTTAATAAACTTAAAGAAACTTTTTGTTTTTGTAAAGGGTGTTCCATTTAATTGCATAAGAAAAACAAAAATTTCATGCTCAGACGACCATACCAGTCCATAGTATTTATGGATCAAAGCCCAATAAAAAAAAAAACCAAAACAGTAGTAAGTGACAAGGAACTTAAAAATGAACCATGATACAAACTATACTCGTATCTAGTATGCTGTGATCTTTAGGAAGAACCATCTTTTATTCAGTTGAGACATGAGAGTAGTTGGAAATCACATTACATCTCATTATGTTGATTCAAATATCTCAAAAGTCATAAGAAACAAAGAATCAAGAAGCTTTAACAACATCATGGTAAACAATTTTTTTATGGAGCATTGTGTAGATAAGGCATCAACATTTTCAATATGAGTTGTATCCTGACCTCCATAATATATCCTTCATCACATAATTGATAGAAACATTATTATTGCACTTGTCCAAATCATTTGAGCTGTAATATATGTTGCTTAAGCTTATGTCTATCTTCTATATATACATCGTTTTCGCTCCTAGTTGTCATGTCTATTTCAAGTACCTACCTCTAATTCTTATTTTCTAATCATATCATCAAACCTTATTATAATGTTCGAAGACTTAACTAATTTGATGTCTTCAATAAAAATGTAGGTTTATCACAAAAACAAAAGTGATGAGATGAGCTCAACCGACTATTAAAAATGCAAATCATCATAACAAATTTGAGAGCGAGTCTTATTAGCTATTATATTACAAATTTCATATAGATGAAGGTATTTTATTTTTAGACTAAATTCACTATTTTATTTTTTTATTATTTACTAAATTAAATATATTTTTATATACATATTTTCAGACTAATTTAGAATTTTGCATGAATAAACAAGTATAATATTCTGTAGAATTAGCAGATAATTAGCTTGCAAATGAAAATTAAAAAAAAAAACTAATAACTATTTTATTTGCATAAATGAACCAAACTATAAAAGCAACACACTAGCCACCAAATTTACAGAGAGAGAAAAAAAATTGAAGCTATAGAGACAGAGTGAAAGAGAAACATGGAAGGCAAAGAAGAGGACGTGAATGTTGGAGCCAATAAGTTCCCGGAGAGGCAGCCGATCGGTACGGCGGCGCAAACGGAGAGTAAAGACTATAAAGAACCACCGCCGGCGCCGTTATTCGAACCCGGCGAGCTCAAATCGTGGTCGTTCTACAGAGCCGGCATAGCTGAGTTCATAGCCACTTTTCTTTTCCTCTATATCACCGTTTTGACAGTGATGGGTGTCAAGAGAGCTCCCAATATGTGTGCCTCTGTGGGAATCCAAGGCATCGCTTGGGCTTTTGGTGGCATGATTTTTGCTCTTGTTTACTGTACTGCTGGAATCTCAGGTTTAAGATTTGTTCTTGTTCCGAATTTGATGAAAATTTTTGAACTTTGACTGTAAGGAATCTAGATTAGGACTAATTGTTGTGAGAAATTTGCTAATATTTTGGTTATATCGATGAAAGATTGGTACTTTGAGTCATTTCCTCAGTAAAGTTTGAAACTTTGAGTCACTTCTCCATTGAAGTTTGAAACTTTAAGTAACTTCAGCTTTTGTTTCATTTGTGGCAAGAACATAATCTGATTCTGATTTGTGATTTTCGAAATTGGTTTGGTGATGAACAGGAGGACATATTAATCCGGCTGTGACTTTCGGTTTGTTCTTGGCGAGGAAGCTGTCTTTAACAAGAGCTGTGTTCTACATAGTGATGCAGTGCCTTGGAGCTATCTGTGGTGCTGGTGTGGTTAAAGGGTTTCAGTCAGGGCCATACCAGTCTAATGGTGGTGGAGCTAATGTGGTGGCTCATGGTTACACAAAGGGTTCAGGTCTTGGTGCAGAGATTATTGGAACTTTTGTTCTGGTTTACACTGTTTTCTCAGCTACTGATGCTAAGAGAAGTGCCAGAGACTCCCATGTCCCTGTATGTTACTAATTCTTCTATTATAATTGAATAGAATTGACAATCTCTTTGGACAAGAATTGGGTTGAGTTCGTGGTGTTAGCATAGAACTTATATGTTTTTTGAACATTCTGCAGATCTTGGCTCCACTTCCAATTGGTTTTGCTGTCTTCTTAGTGCACTTGGCTACCATCCCAATCACTGGAACTGGCATTAACCCGGCCAGGAGTCTGGGAGCTGCCATCATCTACAACAAGGACCATGCTTGGGATGACCATGTAAGTTCCTCTTTCCTTCCTCACATCAACAGTTTTGATACTGATATGTATCATTTGCATCACACAGCGAGTGTTTGGATGGGGAAACTGTTTGCCTAAGTTGCTATTTAGATCGAATCTGATATTCCGCTCTTTGATCTGTTGTTTATCCTGGTTTCCATGTCTGCAGTGGATCTTCTGGGTTGGCCCATTCATTGGTGCTGCCCTTGCTGCTCTATACCATCAGATAGTCATCAGAGCTATTCCTTTCAAGTCCAAGACATAAAGCTTCCCACATATTCTCTGCTCATCATCAATCTAAGAATATTAATCTTTAACTCTCTGTGCATTCCTCATGTTAAACATGTGATTATCTCTATATCTACCACTGGAGTTTGATGTATATATAAGTTATTATCTGTTACATTGTATTGTATGTGCAAATAATTATGTCAATGGAAATTTTATCTTGATAGTACATAAGTAAGCTCAGAAACGTTTGTTTCACTGAGACATAATTGAACTGATATTCTACTCTTGATAGTACATTCCTTTGATCACTAACAGTGCCAATAGTTAACTGTTTCCAATATCAGATATGAGAACCACAAACTGTTAAATGTACCATGTAACCAATAAATATATATCATGAAAACCACAATAGTTGTTCAAAGGTTTAAAGTTCAATACATATAACCAAAACTCGTCTCACGCCATTATCTAGTGATTGCATCATATTAGGTTCTGCACCACATGGTAAGGTTCCAGTAACAGAGTCAAAGAACCAAGTCTAGTAGGCTAGTAACATTTTGATGCAGCGAATGGTATGGTATAGAAAGTGTGAGAGTTCACAGTTCAGTACTTTAGTTGTTTATTGTTTTTGTTGGAAACCTCAAAAACTTTCAAATCTAATCCTTGAAAACAATAAAAACTAACAAAGGGGATCTACTAGAACATGAACATTTAAAGGTTGATTGTGACAAGAAATAAAATAAAAAGTTGATTTGCCAACGAATATCTTGCAATACAAAAAAATAAAACTCTGAAAGTAACGATAATGATGCAATTGTATAATATTGTTGTTAAGAGTTTTATCTCATTCGTTCAAAGTTTCTTAATTATTGTGGCCACATATAATCAGCTTAAGATTAATCCTAGAACAGAAAGTAATGTAAAAGGTTGTTCATGAAAAAGTTACTTAATGGTTAAGAAGTTTTTGGCTTATGATCATCCCACTTTGTGAAGTATGGACTCGACTTTATTGATATTAGTACCAAAAATGAAAGAGGTTTCTTAATCGCCAAGTTCCGACCAAAAACACAAAGCCCACATTTTATGAAAAAGACTCTCAACCAACATTTTGTTTTGATATGATAGAAAGTTTCAAAGATCCAAAACGATGATATAATAAATAAATACAAAAGAAAAAAAGGTGAAGCCACTCAACAAAATTCAAAAGTGATGAAACTAAAGCAAGTGAAGACGCATACATTATCACATAAAAAGTAGCATCCACACCAAGAAATTAGATAAAAAGAGAAGAGAATAATTTCATCAACTTTTTTTTTTCTTTCTTTTGTTTTCTGTAGATTTTGAATTGCAATCATACATTCATACGTGTGAATGTGTATATATCAACAACATTCTTTTTAATGTATAAAATTCTCAAGTAGTATAAAGTAGCTAAATCATATGTGACTAAGATATATAAAGAGAGAGACAAGCCAGCAAGAATATTTACTACACATACACACACAAAAAGATTCACATAATCATCTAGTAACCAAAAAAACAGAGTGAGAAGAAGTAATGAACAGAATGAGCAATACAGTGTTAGGGTTCTTGAACATCCTTACACTAATTTCTTCCATAGTTCTATTAGGGTCAGCTCTATGGATGGGTAGGAGCAAGACAACATGCGAGCATTTTCTTCAGAAGCCACTTCTGATCTTAGGCCTAGCTATCTTGGTCTTATCAATAGCTGGTCTGGTCGGTGCATGTTGTGACGTGGCTTGGGTCTTGTGGGTGTACCTCTTCTTTATGGTCTTCATCATAATCGCCCTCATGGTTTTGACCCTGTTTGGATTCATAGTGACTAGCCATGGTGGTGGTGTGGGTGTGGATGGTAGGATTTATAAAGAGTTCAAGCTAGAAGCATATCACCCTTGGCTTAAGACAAGGGTGATAGATACTAATTATTGGGTTACTATAAAGACTTGCCTCTTGGGCTCAGTCACTTGTTCCAAGCTCGCTTTTTGGACTCCTCTTGATTATCTCCAAAAGGACTTATCTCCTCTTCAGGTACTTGTTATAATAACAATAGTTTTCAAAATTTAGTACAAAAACACAAAGATTGTTGAATATTCTGATATTTGGAAATAGTCTGGATGCTGCAAACCACCGACGTCATGCGTTTACAACACGGACACGCCGATACAACAAGACCCGGATTGTTACCGGTGGAACAACGCCCCGACCGTCCTCTGCTATGACTGTGATTCGTGCAGAGCTGGGGTTTTGGAGACAGTTCGACGCGACTGGCACAAACTCTCTCTAGTTAATGTCATTGTTGTTGTTTTCCTCATTGCTGTTTACTGCATTGGTTGTTGCGCGTTCAAAAACGCTAGACGCCCTCAACATTACGGCTTCCCTTACGGACGTTACGGCATGTCCAAGTCTCGACCCGGATGGGAACAGTCTTGGTGAGGTTTTAGATTCATGAATCTTTTATATATGATTGTTAGTTTTCATTTCTAATGCTAATTTTATTATGTAGGTCGAGATGGTGGCATGGGAGAGACCGGTATTAATTAGGGAAATATATATATATGTAATGTTTTCGAATTTTACGGTTCAGCTCTTGGCCTAATCTATAAATATTATTTTTGTACAGAGCATAATTTTTTTTACAATGAAACTGCGATTTTCTTTTGGTTGTTATTGAAGAGAAGCCAGATTAATATATAGTTATACGACTCCAACTATATAGTATCTGATTTGAGGAAGACAAATTTTCGTCGCTTATATATTTATATAATAACATAAAAAAAACGTGACCGTCATCATAACATACAAATTTTTTTTAGGTTTATCTGAATTCGGATTTGAAAACCTGATTTACAGTATTTTTATTGAGCATATTAAATATTGCAACATGTTCTATAGAGTATAGATTAGTTTAGCATTAGGATCGAGACATCGAGTATAGCTTATAGGAGAATGTCAAATGGGTTCTCTTTGGGCCAGATATTAGTTATTGATTAGGCCCAGCAAAGCATGCAACTAGGGTAAGCGATTCTTCTCCCACATCGAAGCTTGAGATGAGACACTCACCTGTGAGCGTTGTATAAATAATAAAGGTGGTCGTAGCATTGAAGGTACTTACCTGGACGGGGTCAACTCGTGATCATGAAGACGAGTGGCCTAGGCTAGCGACCACATTGCACTTTGTCGGTGTGCTTAGCTTAAGGTCTTCCCATGAGGGAGATCCTGCGTCATTATTTGTGGCAGTGGAGGCCTGCGTCCGCGCGGCCTCTCCTATTTCCAACAGTTCAATTTTTTTTCTATGGCTAAACTCTAAACCGGAGCTTAGTAATGGCCAAAGTTGGAGATCCTAGCTACTGAGTACTGACATTGCATATATGTTTACATATCCAATTAAACAGGCTGTGTTGAAACCTTAATGGATCAAGGAGGATGTTAATGGATTTGGTGCTTTTCAAACATTTCATTTAGTTGTAGGCTGACAAGGAAGTGTTAGAATCTGTTGCATGATCGGATCAGTCTAAATACCAATTTGCATTGGAGTGTCAACATGGTGGCTGAAGCTAGAAGTTTCAAGCCCTTATGGTGTTACCAGCGATCAAATATTGTTGAAGTGGAGCATTGCATATACTTTGATGATTAAAAGTCAAAACAATTCTCTCTAATCGAAGATGCATTTTAAAAAAAAATTATAAAAAACACTACGAATTTAAGCAGAGACAAGGTTTCTAGACTTGTAGCTAAGTTCATTCCTTTTACGAACATTAAAGTTGGTCCAAGATTTTACTTGTAGGGATTTGTTGGCGTAGCAATCAACTTTATCTTACCTTTTTGTGGATGTTTTATATTAAAAGTACAAGATTCTAGGTTCTCTGTTTATAGAAAGATAAGCATGAAAAACTGATTACTTATCCTAGAGGTGAACACCATACACTTGACTAGAGAAAAATCTCAAATCCTCAAATTTAGCAGTTTTGCTAGTAATTAAGCCATGATTATTAGTCTCAGTCTCATGATAATTATTTTTCACAGTTTGATGAGCAAAGTTTAGATATATTCATCAGTAAACCAATTTTTAGTAGCTAGAAAGCATTATACTGCCAAAACGCTTCATGGTTTTTTTCAAGAATCCAATTGAGTTGGAAGGAAACAAATTTCTCCGTTTTAAACGAAGAAGAACTATATACGAATATGATCACGATGATTTACACCGCGTCATCGCCCATTACACTTGTTATGCTGCCTCTGCTTTGTTCCATCCCCTTGCTTTTCGATTATGGGGTTGAATCCTCAAGATAAGCACTATAAGCCTCCTTGGTAAAAAAAACTTCTTACTAAAGTATCTATCATTTAACACTTTACAAAAAAAAGAAAGGTTTTATACAACAAGTTAAATACCGAGAGTATATGTCTCTTTTTATCAAGATAATAGAAAAATGTCAAGTAAAAAATCATAAATTATAAAATGTGCTCGGGGGAGTAATTAACGCATTATTAATGGGAAGGTGTAACGTACACGAGTTTGCGTTAGGCGGAAAGAAAATATAGTGGACATAAACAAAACTTTGTCACATGCTTTGCCATCAAGCCCATGCATATCACCTTATTTTTTGATGGAACCTTATTATTTGTGCATTAACGAAAATGGAATTTTAAAACGTATATACATTGAACACGCATGAAATTTGTGCAATATGTTTTCAGGAAAACAGGAACAACAAAAAGATTAATTATAATAACTAATATATAACTGAAATGAAAAATATAAAACTAACGGCAAAATCTTAGATTGACGTTTGAGGAATGGGCTACTGCAATTATATTATTCTGAAAATTCATGTTCCAAGTGAGTAGATAAGTAGTAGACATATGAGTTGAGAAGTAGCAAAAGTTCAATTTAATTTGTTGTTAAGAAAGCTAATTATACCTAGGAATTAAGAAATTATGTTTGTTTAATTATGTTAATGGACTTTTTGATAGTGGGATGATATATATTTATATTAAATTGAACTATTTATATTTGACTATTTATATTTATATTTATTATCCATGAAATTATGGTTATTTTTATTTGACTATATATATTGTTTGATTTTTGCTTGTATATCCAAAACTCTCGGCATGGAACCTGCGTACAGTTTTTGATTTTGACCCCTCGTTAACCAATAACTTGTACAAGTTTTTTCATGTTCGTTTTTTTTTTTTTAAATGTCAAGTTTCATATACATACATACATAGCTAAACACAACTTTGGACCCATATATAAGATGCATTTTCAATTTTACAACAATTAATAAATTTCGTAAGACTTCTAAATTTATATATGGCTTAATATTAAAGGACCTATATGTATGCATTTCACAGGATGCCGATGTAAAATTGATGATATAGAAATACATACGAATGTAGGTTTTACATACATGTGTATTGTGTATTAGAATATTAAGGAGAAGAGAAAAACCTATTAATACAATACCGTTTTGTTTTTGTTGTAAGTGAGCCAGAAAAGCCTTAATTAAGAAAATGTAATAAAAACTACTCCATTAAATAACAATTTATAATCCTCACAGAAAGAAGAGAAAAAAATAAAGTATATGGTGGTTAATAAAGATGATACGATATGAAATGTCAATAACTACAACTTGTTATATCGAAAGCCTTTGATTGTGATTCCTTAATCATCGAAACTTAATTCTTGTTAGACAACATATTAACAGTGCAGCCAAATTACCCTAAAATTACGTGGAAACATCTCATGTAATGAAATTACGTACCCAACTTTACTTGCATGCAATATCTATAAATACCCTCATGAATTACATTTCATGCAAAATCAAGAAACACTCAAAACCCATTTCAAAAGAGAAACATTTCTAAAAAAACACTTTTAGTAATTAATAATGGGAAAGCTCTTGGTGTTAATGTTAGTTGGGATGTTCTTGGCTTTCGAAAGCTTGGAAGCTCTTGACTATGGAGATGCACTAAACAAGTCGATCTTGTTCTTTGAAGGCCAGCGATCCGGTAAACTCCCGACCAACCAACGGGTTAAATGGCGAGGCGATTCTGCCCTCTCCGACGGTGCATCAGCTAATGTAATCCATAGCTCTATTCATCAGAAACATACTTTTATATGTCTCCGTATTATATCTTTTAACCAATTTTCGTGTGTTTTTATAATTTCCAGGTGAATCTGATTGGAGGGTATTACGATGCTGGTGACAATGTAAAATTTGTGTGGCCAATGTCATTTACCACAACATTGCTGAGTTGGGCGGCAATTGAATACCAAAATGAGATTTCTTCCGTTAACCAGCTCGGTTATCTCCGGTCTACTATCAAATGGGCAACCGATTTTATCCTGCGAGCTCATACCTCGCCGACCATGTTATATACACAGGTAAACCAGCTAAGCCGGCCTATAGAGAAATAAAAGATACACTATATTTCATTCATTGCTGAATATTTCAAATAGTATAGACTATATATAAATATACCTCTAACTCTAATGTTTAACAAAATTTGGTTTTGTTTTCTGATGGATATAAAAAAAGGTGGGAGATGGGAACAAAGATCATAGTTGCTGGGAGAGGCCAGAAGATATGGACACACCTAGAACTCTCTTCAATATCACTTCCTCTTCCCCTGGTTCTGAAGCTGCCGGTGAAGCCGCAGCCGCTCTTGCTGCCGCCTCAATTGTTTTCAAACCGGTGGATTCTACTTATTCATCCACCCTACTAAACCATGCAAAAACCGTAAGTATACATAATCATTACATTCAATCACGATGTATGTATAATCCATATTATCTTTTTTTTGTTTTGTTCTGCAGCTGTTTGAATTTGCTGATAAGTACAGAGGTTCTTACCAAGCATCTTGCCCCTTCTACTGCTCATACTCAGGCTACCAAGACGAGTTATTATGGGCTGCGGTATGGCTATACAAAGCAACAGGAGAGAAGAGTTACATAAATTATGTTATAAGCAATAAAGATTGGAGCCAAGCCGTCAATGAATTCAGCTGGGACAACAAATTCGCTGGCGCGCAGGCTTTACTTGCCTCGGTTAGTATAAACTAACTTTACTAAATTCTATAACATTAATCAAGTGCTTTGCTAATTTTTTGTTGATTCTATATTTGAAGGAGTTTTACAACGGAGCAAATGATTTGGTTAAATTTAAGACCGATGTTGAATCATTTGTCTGTGCATTGATGCCAGGAAGTAGCTCCCAACAAATTAAACCAACTCCTGGTAAATATTTTTCAATTTTTATCTAAATCATAATCGGTTAATTGTTTTTATTTTATTTTGGCGTTGGTTTTATGGTTACATTTCTTTGTACTTTTTTTTTTCAGGTGGGATTTTGTATATTAGAGACAGTAGCAACTTACAATATGTAACAACGGCTACAACTGTTTTGTTCCATTACTCAAAAACTCTTACCAAAGCAAATGTCGGTTCAATCCAGTGCGGTTCGACCCAATTCACCGTATCTCAAATTCGTAATTTCGCCAAATCACAGGTAAAAAATTATCCTCACTATAATCCGGTTCTACACACTTTTGGCATGTTCTTACCCAACCGGTTTAATTCAGGTGGATTACATACTTGGGAATAATCCAATGAAAATGTCTTACATGGTCGGATTTGGGACAAAGTACCCTACACAACCTCATCATAGAGGCTCATCATTACCGTCAATAAAATCTAAACCGGAAAAAATTGACTGCAATGGAGGGTTTTCTTACTATAATTCTGATACATCAAATCCGAATGTGCATATCGGCGCAATTGTGGGCGGTCCGAATTCATCCGACCAGTACAGCGACAAAAGATCAGATTACTCTCATGCAGAGCCAACAACTTACATTAACGCCGCCTTTATTGGTCCCGTTGCTGCCCTGATCAGTTCTTCCGGATAAACTCACGTTTACATCTTGTTATGGGAAAACAAATTAAATATTCTTAAGAAAGACTCAAACTTACACCACATACACACTCACATATCATTGTATACACACTCACATATCTTTGTATATTTGTATATTATAGCGCTTAACTATAATGAAAACTATTTAATTCAGATATTTATTGGGTCGTTAATTACAAGAAAAGAAAATTATGTATTGGATCTTATATAGAAGTTTAGTTACTATTTTATGATTACTGCCTAAGCCTTTTTATCTTTTATAATCAACCGTCCTCTTTTTTTAGTCTATTAACAACGACATGTAAATATGATGTATTCAGAGAAATGTATTGAACCCTTAACAAC